TTGAGGAGTTAATCTAAACGTTTGCACGCTACAATAAAAAAATTGAAGAAGGAAAGGATTGGGGCAACACAAGCGCGAACTCGCAACTGTTTTTAATGGCATGTTCCTTCTTTAAAATAATCGACGTAGCGCGTTTTAAAACATAGGACGCAGGAAGGGACAGTCCCTTCGCCTGTCCCTTCCCCTGTCCTGTTCTGTCCCTTCCCCTGTCCTATGTTTTAAAACGCGCTACGTTGATTAAGTATGTCTTACCAACATGCCCAACTTTATACTCTATTCTTTAAGCTATCTACTGAGGACACCTATTGAGGTGTCCTTAGTATGCCAGGAGAAAGTTCAATATTTTGTTGTTATCACTAATAATATCATAGATTAAAAAAGCTTACAATAATCACAAAAATCATACGGATCTGGTGCAACCTATACTACTAGCGTTTAATTCTGTTATACATATACGCTACTATAGGGGATGATGAGAGCGCGAAGCGTTGAAGTATAAGGTGTGTGAAACTAATGAAATGGTGAAAGAAAATACACGAAGCGTGTAACTGACTTTTCTGACTACATAATTTAGTACAAAATTTTCTCAGCGTTATCAATAACGCAGGCTTCGGTACTGACGTCTCAGAACCTAAGCAGCGATACCGCAGTATACATGCACTATTCTACACACACACGACAGGTTTCGGTGGGCTGCAAGTGAATTGAGAGAAATGACCCGGTAGAGCTTAGCAGGCACGTAGCAAGAAATTTTTTTTCGGATAGAGGTGGGTCACCTTAATTTAGGAGAGGGCCCCCGCTTAAAATAGTCATTTTTCGCTCTCTGTGCCATGGCTAAAAAATTTGGGGGAGGGCGGGGGCACGGGTCCGGTGTGCCACCACCAGGCTACGCCTTGGAGCTTAGAAACGTACGAGGAGATATAAATATAAGAGAACCTTCTAATACAGCTGTTATCTGCACACTCACTCTGATGTGTTTCTTCAAAATTCACCGAAGCGCTTACTGTGCAGTTGTGTTTGCTCACATTCGCGATGATAGAGAGTCAACGGGGCGTGCCTTCTTGTACGAACAGAGACGAGATACTCCAACTGTGACCGGAGAGCTCTGCTGCTACAGCATTATGTTCCAAGTTCAGTGCTCGATAACGCGTCGCCCATTAAACCTGTTTCGTACGTGCTGCCTGTATTCAGCTCAATGTAGTATCACCAGGTCTTGCGGACCGCCTGCTTTTGAGCACGTCCAGGAAAAGAGAAGGCGCCGCGTGTGACGGGTCCTGTACGATAACCTGTTATCCGCCCTACGCACCATTGTTTCATTTCAAATAAGTATTCTTTTTAGGTATTGTCAACTTCATGCTACTTCTACGAGCATTTCAACGAATTTGTGTTTATCGTGGCTAATTTTCAATATTTTGGGGGCTTTTTTTGAGCAGTTGTATTTGCAGCTTTGGTTCCGCTTTTTCCGGCTGACGGAGCATGGCGCAACTTAAGGTACATAAGAAGAACCATCAGTTATGTGATACACCAGCTTGAGACAAAAGTTCGTAGCTCCTGCAAGCTTTGCTCCACTGAGAGCTATACTTGTTGCAACATTTTCCGGGCTCTCGTATAATTGAAAGCTTTGTATGGCAGTACACATATTTCTACTAGCACGTAGAAAGACACCTACTTCCTACTTTCTGAAGGGAAAAGAACCGAGTACAAAAAAGTCCCACAAGTAGTATGGCAGGACTTGAAAGAGATAGTGATAAAAAAAGGAAATATACGGTCGTATAGTATGCGCAAGCAGCCACACCAGCTATGTGCATGTAAGAGTTTAATTTTAGCGTGGCACGGTTGCCACCGCCCCCTCATTCGCTTTTAGCGACACAATAATCTTGATTCTTATGGGCACGTGATGCAAGACCACCATAGTCTCCATTTTCAAACTATCAACGAATCGGAACGGCTAAGTTGATTCCTAAAAGTACCGTTGAAGACATGAGTAGCTTGCTTGCGTGCTTGAGCAGTACAGTGTCGCGGAGTTGTCACACCACCATTTGAATGATTCCGGAATCATTCTACATTATCGCGACCCCAGAATGGAATAAGAATTAAATGGCGTTAAAGCTTGGAGGAATAAAATGGGAATAGAATTACGTCTTTTACCGAAAATAGAGCACGTGTCTAACTAGCTGCTGTTATTCCATGTTCAATCTTCTGAACATTAGTAAATGAGAGCCTCGGGTTTAACATTAAAGCAGCATTTTTAAAATAACTTGGCTGATTACAAGTGCAGTACATTTATAGGCGACGCCTTACCACAAGTTCTTGCTTTATATTGACTGTGTTCCTCTTAAGTTTGACTATTTTGTTGACTATTTAAGTTTGGCGGAACTACTGTAGCAACCTACGGAGCACAGAACTAGTGGCTGAGTACTGAACGTATTCGGAATATTAGGTGTTCAGGAGATCAAGCCCTGAAGATCAGACGTTCATGAATTTCGAGCTTAGAGCTGGTCATCCCGCGCTCCCGCTGCTGCGGGGTGGGATTGTTGAAAAACAGGAAGCGGAGCCGTAGTAGAGAACATCTTGCTTATTAGACACTGGATTAAAAACTAAAAACAAAATGGAACACGGGCGCGCAATCTGGGCACGCTCTAGTCTTTTTCTTCCTTTTCGCTGCTCTTCCGAATAATTTAACACGAATCAATTCATTAGTACTTTTGTACCTTCGCTTGGTTCCTACGATTCGGCACATATCCGTGTTCACATCGCCAAGAAACTATGACACTTGGGAGTATTTTTCTACGCCTTTACTAGCTAATACTGTAATGTCTTATTCCAATTATTCATGTAGGCCTGAGTCCAAACTCTATCGAAGTCGAAGACTGCAACGTCTTCTCTAGGTTCAGCTTTAGTTAGCTAAAGCAGAGGGTAGGCGTGAATGTAAAAGTGTGAACGAATCTGTCAGCTTAAGAAAAAAGCAATCATGGCGTCAGCTGGCGTACAAACAGATGCATTATCTCAACAGATCCTTGAAAGGAGAAACAAGGTATACTCGCACGTTTCGCTCTCATTGATACCCAACTCGGAAGGGTCGAATACTCTATGCACGGTTTGATCTTTACCCCACGAGCAGCTTAGTTCCTGACACACGGAAATAACTTTTGCGACAAGAAAGACACTGCATACCTGTGCGCAGGCGAACACAAAGTTCTCACCCAATTCACGCTTGCGAGGTACGCTTAACAAGCGTGAGTGCTGATGAGCAGTGCGGTCCTGTGTTCCGTATTGGATGCGAATGCTCAAAGTTCTCGAATGGTGGTGCACTGTTCCTTATAATACCAGCAGATCTAGAGTGTTTTGTTCCCAGTAACGAAATTGTAGTTTCCTTCATATTCACAACCGCTCAAGACGCGGGGCTGTTTAGTGTTCTTGAACACTACTTTTGTAAACATGAAAATACGCTATGTTATCAGTTTAGTATTAGCAAATTTAAGCTTAAACAAATGAAATATCACCATTCATTCAAACATGCTCACCATGCAAATGCAGTGGGAGAACTGCGGCTACATGGGAATTAGTAGGGTGGTTTTGCGCCGTGAGATATGCCTCCAAGTTACTAACTCTCAAACTTGGTACTGTGTTTTACGTAATTTTTCAGTTCTTAATGCATATCATGCTACTCTATTTATGTTGTCGTTCATTGTTAACTCAATGAAACTATCAAGATGCATTTCCTACCTTGAGGAATTGAAGGAACGGCATCAAACGGCCCCCCCATTCCCAGAGTGGGAATGACTCAGTTTTTGTCATTCCGATGAATTAAAAGAAACGAAATTGTGGCAAGCCCTAATCGGCCAGATTGCAATTGGAATGGAATGAAGGTGCCCATTCTGCCACTCTGTAGCACACTGATTTGTAGTATTTAAGGTTCCCGACACGTATGGGAAAGCTTGGGTCTCTTCCTCCTGAAATCCTGAGCTACGTGCACTGACCCCGCTATACTTTTTGACACATCTTCAGAACAATCATGAAGTCATTTATAATACCTTAATTGAACGGGTGCTATATATGCGCGCAAACTGGCTTTCAGAAGACGTTTTCATGAGACGTGCGAGTATTGTCAATAAATACTGCAAGGTTATCAATAAATCAGAAACTATAACGATGCCGACGAGAGTCGTTACATTCAGGTCGTCATGCCCAGTACGAACAGCGTTCCCCAAAATTTGTTCACAGCCACCGTCAGCGTCACAAATGCGTTTTTAATGCGGCAAGTTGGAAGTGGATGTCGCGATTCAGATAACTGATCCTATAATACACTGTTTAATGGGAACTTCATCAGTACAGCTTCTATTCCAAAAGCTGAGTTTGTAGAATATGTCATGTATTTCGACACTAAGCGACGTTCTACAGGACTAGCGCTACTCTTTTACCATGGTCATTCATTCGTTAAGTGCTATAGGAACTTCCTTGACAGGAGGGTCGATAGTCACAGTGCTAGACCGACTGGACAATCATGCAAACGCCGGAACAAGAAGTTGAAGAGAACCAGAGTAGCCTTGAAAGATTTAACTGACTCCCCTACTAACACTGTTCGGCATGTGCGGTGGTCAAACTTTTTTCATGTCCTTCTGTCTATTGATCTCTCTCAATGCTCATTGGGACAACCTTGTCGCTGTCATGTACTACACGAGTGCACCTGTTTAAAGTATAGCGTACTCGTTCCACTGACGCGCACATCTCGAGCACCCCGTGTCACTGGTTATCCACGGATAGGCAAATTTTCCCCCTCTGAAAACACGACTGTTTGCAGTTGGCGGGAGCGTCAGAATGGACGGAATTCGACGCCATCAATTCCCGGTGACGCGTACCCAAATGCCGTTATCTTCCTTTGTCAGTCACCTCTATTGTGTCTCTACCTGTTGCGCGTTCGAAAAAAGGCACCGATAAGCTACCGTAAGCGACGTCGCGCTATATTTCGCACGCCACGGCGCCGTCCACGAGACGTCACCTGTACGCGAGGGCAGGGATGCACTGAACAAGCCGTGGCCATATCTCCCGCCTCACCGTGCTCCCTGCCTATCGGAAAAACGACACATTTAAAGCGCGGCGACCATATCGCTACCTGGCACTGTCTACGAGCAATCTGACACGGCGGTCTCGTGTCCTTCCACTTGTCAAGCAACGCCCCATTCCAACAACGATTTCCAACATGGCGAGCTGGAGGTTTACGACGCTCGCGCTACTGCTCATTGGAGTTCAATCAGGTAAATAATCCACAACAGCGTTTCGAAGACAATCATTTATCCGAAGAAAAACGCTTATTTCTTTCGAGTACTGCAAAAAATAGTAATTAGCGAACCTGCAATCTTTTTTCGGAGATGAAACACGGTAGCCCTACACCTATTCAAGTCCGCAATTAGATACACTATTTGGTGTACCCGATGGGTAGTGCATTTTACGGACTTTCCCAAAAACGCGGTGCCCAAGTAGATAATATGGCCAGGGGCCGATTTAACATTAGTTCTCTTTCTTAAGTGAGTTTCTTGCTTGGTGAGCAGGCTTCGCTAATGACATGTGCTCAATCCAATGAATGAGATGTTTTACAGCAAAAGCTGTTATGAGATTACAACTCGGGTCTCGCGCAGTTGTCCGCCGCCGCCGCCACCACTGGTATCCGTAACCAAATCGCACGAAATCAGAAAAAAATCTAGCATAATTACCACTATGGGGCTCGAACCCAGGTCGGCTGGGTGCCAGCCCAGTATTCTAGCACTGAGCCACGCTGGTCCAAAAGACATGTTGGAAAACTTGCCTTAGGCAGGCTTGATGTCGGGAGAGTAATCGCGTTAATACGACTTATAAAGCGTTCTAAAACAGTGAAAGAACAAACAGTCGTAGCACAATGTTAATAGCGTAACGAGTGGGTCGTCCAATGCTTCATCCCATTACAAAAGCTTGTTTTGTTCAGCTAATAACTGTGGCGCATACCCATTTCAGGCATAATTTCTCACCGCTAGCAGCCACTGCATGAACAATTGGCCCAAAATTTCTCGCAGTAGTTTAGCGGATACCATGCTTCTCAGAAGAATGACGAAAATTTTCAATAATAATAGTCTAACGAGTATCAAGCAAAGGTGCGTGCAGCAGTCACCCAATGAGTGTTTAGAAAAGGCTTTGAAAGGCCGCTCTTCTAGCTTTCGCTCTGACTGTGCTGCACCTTCTGAACAGGCCTGGAGATTTTTTTTTTCTCGAATGCTTCCAGCTTAGCACGTTTTTGTGACAACCGCGCAGATGTCCGTGAAGGAGAGGTGTTATTAAATTGTGTAAGTGTATGGATGGTGACGGCACTGCGATAAGTCACCATTTTTAACTATATACAAAAAAAAGCTGCGCATCTGTCACACGCACTAATACAAACGTATTTGTTAGCTCGAGAACTGGTTTAACTCGAAGATTTAGCACTGTCCCAGTGAATTCGACTAAAATAGTCTTTACTGTACTTCAACCATCTTCCCTATCATATTACCAATACGTATTTTATTGTGCTGTTTTATTCACTCTCACAATGGATATGCTTGCTCAACTGCAATATGAAAGGCAGCTGTGTTGTCCAGGCACTGCGGTGCACTTGTGACATTTTATCGCAAACTTGGATATCCGTCTACTCTAACTTAAGCAGGCGCGTACCAGATTACGCCTTAAGGCATAATCCCATTCTATAGGTATATAGTGGTGCATGTAATTCAGACAAATACATAGTTTGCCAAGCACGCAGAAAATACTCGTGGTTGAATCATGCGTTCTTTTTCGTGTACATTGCCCAGAGCTGCAGAGGGAAGGAGAAAGAAGTGGTGGAGGTTATCGTACCATGATACACACTGCTTTCTTTAAGGGCTCGTATACGTATACAAACTGTTTAATAAAAACGTTTTGTGACAAACATAAAATCAAACGCAGATTCGTGCAGGGGAAAATAGATCACGCAGTTTCTGTTCAGCACACGCTTTTTAAGAGATGCTATTGGGAACCAGCTCGCTTACAAGCACCTAAAAAGGACGATTATGACCAAGTTACAAACTTGTGATAAAATAATATCGAACGCAAGCAAATGCGGAGAACCGCGAAAAGCGTTCCCGCCTGAAAGCCCGTTGACGTCGTAGCCTGTTGCGGTAATACTAGGTGCATCGCAGCGAAACCTATAATCTAGAACCGTTGAACATGTACTCTGTTTACTATAGCACTCGACATCAGCATATTGGATGACGTACTTATGTAACAAGAGTTCAGCTACGCTGTTACCAGACTGTAGTTTGTTTTAGAAAATATGTATAAAGTGCGTAAATGTTTTATGTGCTTTTTTATAACAAACTAGTTCCGAGTGAAGCGAGTTTCCTGTAGTTTCAATCGTTTTGTGTCTTGTCCCCACGCGCTGCTTTACGCGTAAGCGATAGCTAGAACGAACACCTCGTGCCTGTCAAGCCACAATCGCGCATGGGACCAGGTAATTTGACTCGCATTGACTGAGCACCAAAGGAAGAGATAAAGGGATGAAAAAAAGTTGACCCAAGAACTTTTGTTTCGAATGACTGCTCTTAGTGACCCCAGCTCTGAACCACACACTTGAATAGGTTCATATTATTAAACTGTTGGACTAACAGTTCGGATTATAAAATCAGCATGTGAATGAAGTCGCAGAGTTTACTGAACGTGCCGACACGACCTGTTGGAATAGGCGACGTCGGGGAGTTGTCGGGCTTAAATTTCATCTCGTGACGTTATCGAAAGTCGGTTCATCGTTCAGCATGAGATCATTTTATGTACTGCAGAATTGGAATGTAGCCGCACCATCAGATATTCCACTCTTCCAATTCTGTATTCGGCAACGGAACTACCTACGCACGTGTGGAAACCAGGCGTACAACCCATCGCGTGATAGGTCGCGTGTAATGGGGTTCATGGAAGCACGTTTCTTATAAAGGGAAGAGGGGGCGCTGATGTTTTCCCGAATGGTAAGCGTCATTCTACCTTGACACAACTATTACTTCCTCCATCTTTTTCATTTTTTTTCTTGCATAGTTGAAAATGAACCTAACCTTTTATATAGCTGCCACGAACGTGGAAGTCCATGCTTTCACTTACACTTGATTGTTATTGCTCTTGGTACCACACTTAGGTGCTTCATTCATTGCAAAAATGAACACCATGTGTGCCGGGTAAAGACCGCTTTTTCATGTTCTCCTTCGTTTTTTGTTTGTAATGGCTTGTTACCAATGCACACATTTATTTTTTCGAAGCCTAGTCAACAAGCCATGTCCACAGTATTTTGGGTATTATTTGTTAGTGACAACTTTATGTGCCGTAGAGGTTTGCATACATGTTTGTAGCACTTACAGTTAGGAAGTCCAGATTACTGTTTATTAAAAAAAAACACCCTCCGCAGCGTACAGCGCGTAAAAGTTCTTCTTTTGCAGTATTTACTGCAAACAAATTTTTAGAGCACTTGAAAGCTTCAAAAGGTTTTCTAATAAGGGACTAGATTTGAAAAAATGATGAATAAAAAAAATCTTTCAAACGAATATCCGAGTGGAAGCGTAGATGAAAAACCTGAATGTTTAGAGTGCAGAGAAACGGATATTCTGCCTCAGAGAGACAGCCATCCATTGATGGCAAAATCTCTCGAGACAGTGAGGATAAAAAAGTCGAACTCCGTTCAACTGAGGTGAACAAACAAGACTGCGGCACTCGGTGAAGAAGTATCTCAACCGAAAGTAAAAGAAAAAGAACAGAAAGGAAGTCGGAAAAACAAAACAGAAGAAGGCAAGTGCTTTCACACTTGTGATGCCTTGTGAAAGCTTTCAGGAGTTCAGTTCATGGTGTCCTACTGTTTGCTTCTCATTGCTGACTGCAACAAACGTGGCAACAGTAAAATTTGAATAAAATGTACATGTAGAGCTGTAAGTTTTTCAAAGTATAACTTTGAACGAGAATAGCATGAAAATGCCATTTTACAATAAGCTGTTTGTTGGAAAAAAGCAGTACATGACATTCGTGAGCATACAAGCCTCCTGAAGAAAAAAAAATAAAAATTCCCGGTGGTTGGTTGACGAATTATTGTACGAGCTGCGGTTGCAAAGTTTCTTTCGGCGAATGTACAGACCTCTGTGGAAAAAATGTTGACAGTCGAACGTGTAGGGTTATGGAAGTGAATGAGATTTTCGGTTTGGCTAAAGGGCGTCAGTGCTCTGTCTTTACTGTGCAGTGACGAGGAGACTGCTTTTCTCAAAAGGAGGTGTAGGCTGGAGCGTGGTGTAACTTAATTGGATGTCAGCGTTCCTCGGTCAAAACAGTTTGTGGCTTAGATGTTAGCGTCATTTCTCTACTAAAGAATAACGCTTAAAGCCCAGGCGTTATCGAACATCTTTCCCCACGAAGTATTACCAAGGCCGGACTCGCTGCAGTGTCGGGTAGTTTCTGAGATGGGAAACGCCCCCGCTTTGTTCGCTTAACGATGGGAAGCTGATACGAAGCGCATTAGAGACAAAAGGGAAGGATAAGTAATGGCTTTTGATTGAAGACCATGGATAAGTAGGACCATTGAGTGTGCTATCGTTGGGAAGCAGTTACGATTAAGTCTTCCACAATGCTGTAGCGTGAATAACGACAATGAGCTTTGCAGCTCTCGCTGGCCAGTGACGGGACGACACCCACATGAAGTGAGGGGCGTTTCGGTGCCGGAATAAAGCACCGCCTTGAACCAGAAGAAGAACCAGGCCTAGCGCGACACGTAGCCTCGTATGAAACATTACACTGGGTACATTTCTCTATTGCATAACTGGAGGGGTGTATATACGACCCACCGGTCGCGAGTTAGATCCTGGTGCATGGCGGTCGTATTTTGATGAAGGCGTATGCCAGGAGCCTTGCTCTATACATTATTATTGGACGTTAATGGAAGCTAACTGATAGAAATTCCCGGGGCTGTCTAATATGTCTTGCCTCATATTCATTGTTTCGGGATGGACAGTCTCAGATATGATTATATAATAATGGATAAATGAGTGGATGCTGTAAGTGTCATCCCATAAAGAGCTGTGTCCTATGAGCCATCAATCAAAACTTCGATTTGGCCTAATCTCTAGCCTGTGTAAATTAACTAATATTGCTTGGAAATGTTACTTTTTAGTTCAGATATCTGTAACCTACGGAGCGCTCTATTACCATTTTGCATGACATCATGTTGTTTGTCCCCACTGCTGCACCAGTC